AAATGTATTACCCGGTTCTCTGCCCTCTCTACGCACGTATGTTCAATTTAAGGTCCAGAGAGGTCATATAAAGTGGAAAAAAGCCAGCTTTGGGGTCAGCCTGGCCCCACCACTTGACAGAAGACCCTCGCCAAGTTCTTTGGTTCTCTTAGCCACCGTTTCTCCATCCATAAAATGGGGGTAATGACAGCCCCTGAATCATAGGATCATGGATGTTAAGCCATTAGCCCCTCATAGTAAATCACAGTTTTATGCACTTACTAGACGCCACGCACTCTTACAAGCACTTGTGTTGTCTAGTGTGCTGTGCATAATGCTCTAGGAAGTAGGTAGTTACTATTCCTGTTTTAGAGACGAGGAAAGGGAATCACAGAGAGGCGAAGTTGTAACACTGGGCGGACTGGCTCTGGCTTTTTCCACTCACACCGCTACCTCTAGGTGCCTGCTGCACAGGAGGCACTCTATCGGTGGTGGCTGATAAGAACAGCCTACACAGTTCTGAGTAACAGGCAAAAGACCCTACCACCCAGCAGTGCGCTGGGCTGGGCTCTCCAGCGCCCCCTGTGGTTGATGTGCAGGGACAGCCCCCGGTGCTGGGTTGGTTTTTTGAGGGGGGGGTTTTGGGTTTTTTTTTTTTGAATATCAAAGCAAACATTGCAGACACGGAAGCTTAAGTTTTTCCCTTTTTATTTATCTGTTGTTCCTTAAGATGAAGAGGGGGCGGGGGAGGGGTGTAGCTCAACTGATAGAGCGCATGCTTAGCATACATGAGGTCCTGGGTTCAAGCCCCAGTACCTCCATTAAAATAAATAAAAACCTAATCACCCCCACCACACACAACAAAAAAAAAAGAAGAAGAAGATGAAGGGGTGGTAAATTCAGGATACGTGAGGAGGTGAGAAGCAGAGACCACAGCCTGGGTGATGTCCCCCAGTGGCCCTGAAGATTCAAGGACAACAGAGACGTAACTGCAGATTTCAGAAGCAACTTTTCTTTATATTCACGTGCATTTTTCTTCAGTTCCTGCAGTTTTGCATTTGAGGTCAACATTAACCAGCTCTTTTTGCCTCCTTGGAATCTCTCACTTTCGTACTTTCTTCTCCATAGGGGTTCACCCTCGTCTGATGCTCTGCTTTTCGTACCTGCAAACCAGAGACTAACTTTAGGCTTCATCAGAAATGGTCCATAAGGGTGTTTGTTCTGTTGCGGATTGACCCAAAGAAAAGACCTCTTCCATGCCGAATTTAATTCCAGCCACAAAAGGAACAATCCTGGAACAAAGTGTAAACACTGTGATTTAATAAGAAGTCCACTTCTCAGTGCTGATCCTCAACTGACTGTATCAAACACACTTATAGTGGAGTGATTTACTGATAACAGTAGTTGTCCCATTTTTGCCCACTTTAAACCTTTGGTATCTGAAAACTCTCTTAAGTGAAAATATTGGCACAAAATGATAAAGTTAGAGTTTATCAGATTCACCTAGATACTCTAATTCCTTGGTTTTCCTTGAAACTGTGCTTTGAGAATGAAGACAGTGTGTCCCAGTGCATCGGGGCACAGGCTTTGAGCTTCATACACCAGGATTCAAATCTGAGCTCTGCCCCTTAGTAATTGTGTCCCGCTAGACAAGTTGCCTCAGTTTCCTTACGTGTACCGTGATGATAACAGTGTCCTATTCACCTGATTCTTGTGAAGGTGAACATAGGAAAAGCATTTAGCACAGTCTCTGGCAGCAAGTAAAGGCTTGACAAATGGTGGCTTTCTTCTCATTTCTATCACCCCTACCATTAGACCATTTTATCATAGCATCACAGTCTAGCATCCAACCTGTCAGTGAAAATATCTGTACTTTGATTGCAGAGCATCTTTTCTTGATGTATCTCCCCCGTCACCGCTGCGTCAGTGACATTTATTTCCACCCAAGTCATCGCACCCATCCCTCTGACACGTCTTCACCATGTAATTACACACCGTTCTTGCCATCACTTACGTTCCTCATAACAAATGCTGCCCTCAGGCAGACACCATCTCCCTGATCTCTGGCTGAGTCCTAGGTGCTCAGTAGACACGTCACCCCGTGGTTCCCCGCTCTCTGTGACCCCGATGCCAACTGTTCTCTCCCAGTCGGAGCACTTGTGACCTCGTCGGTGGCCCTCCTTCCTCTGCCATACACCAGGCTGCAGTGAATCTTTCTCAGCTTATGTTCTCAGCTGTAAGATGAGGATGAAATAGTTCCTATCTCCGAGGGCTATTGGGAGGCCTGAGTGCAGGTTAATACATGTCAGAGGCCTAGGAGGGCCTGGACCTAGTCAGTGCTGCTGGAGTCTCTCCGTTTGTTCATGAAATGCAGGCAGATGCAGGTGGAAATGACATCTTCCAGATGAGTGTCCTCATACCACACAGGGTCTCTCCAGATAAAAATTGAGCAGATCAGGTCTATGATGCTGTTAGCATTGCTTGGCCTTCTGCTAGTTACATAATTTTATAATTATCTGGCTCCTGTTGAGATAAATGTAATAGAAAAACTATGTGAGAGGGAAACTAGAGGACTTCTGCTGAGCCATAGCCTTGTATTCATCTTAATATTGAGGGAAAAAGATTTACGACCCCTCAGTTTCATTTATCTTGATTGAAAGACAAGTAATATATTATCTAGGTAGCTGATGGGAGTGTGTGTGTGTGTGTGTGTGTGTGTGTGTGTGTGTGTGTGTGTCTGCCAGTCTGGTAGTTTTATGGCGTTATTGGTGGTGCCTGGAAACCCAGAGGGATGTGGTTAGACTTCCTTGGATAAAGAAGCAAACTGGAGAGACCAGAGAGTCATGTATTTCCATGATTATCATCCTGAACTCTGCGGGGTTCTGCTGCATCCAGCCTTTGGGGGAGCAGGCCAGCCGACTTCTGGGCATGTGTGGCATTCGCTTGGATAGAACAGTTGAGCACTTTGCAGGAAAAAAACAATAAAGCATTAACCCCAAAGCATTTGTTTAATGACTTGAGGTGGGCTGTGACCTTTGAAACACTGTGGTTGGTACCTTGCAGAGTGAAATGACTCTAAAGCTGACGTGTTTTTTCTTATTTTGAACTAGAGTCCACATGCTTGATCACGGCACCAAAAGTTTATTGGGAATCGCCAGTTGTAAACTGTCGTCACATAATAAATGGCGCCCTCAACCTATTACACTATTAATCATGTTAGTTTGCTCTTGGAGACAGTGTTGTGTCTCTCATTTCTAAATAAGTAGGAGAGAGGTGCCTGCCGTCTGTGTGCTGGAGTGTTCGTGGAGCCACGCTGTGTCCCGTATTATTTATTTTGCCTCTTGTCCAAAGATGAGTTTATTCTTGGGGTAATCTTTCACAGAGGCTCCAATTTTATTTACATTAATCCTTTTCTCAACCTAAGATCTTTTCTTTGCCACTTGATCATTATCGTAGGATTTGCTTACTTCTAAACATTTGAAGTGAAGTGATCAGATAATTTGGGGAATTTTTCTTGAACTGTGCATTCTGCTAAATATTCTGGGGAAACATGTTTGGCTCGCCTCACTCTGTTAATGGCGGTTACATCATTACGGGAGCTATAGATTTCTTGGGCGTGCAAAGTGATTGCATATTCATGAACATCTTCAGTCCTGAAATATTTGTAAATAACTTGGCAATTTTATTTCATAAGGTGGCCTATTAAAATGATTAGGTCTTTAATTGCTCACAGGGAGAGAAATTGTGCCTCCCGAGCACCACCTATTTGATAAGTAACATTTCTCCGCTAAGCAGTTTGGATCATGGGCGTTGATAAGTCACCTTCCTGAAACAGCGTATATAAGAGATGCTATTTTCCGCTGAAGAATGATTCAAGTTTGAAAATGTCAATAGATGCAGAAAGCCACCCCAGAGCTTTGCTCTCTCGAGAGAAAGTAGAGAAGGAATGACATAGTCAATGCTAACTGTCACCAGATGAAGAGAAATCAGATTGTCAGGCCTGGATCTATAACATTCTTGCCAAAGTAGGACCTCATTTACACATACAGATCTTCATACCCTTTGCTAAGAAAAGCATCTGTGGCAGTTTAGATGTTTGTGCGTTTGCCAAAGATCTTTCACTCTGAATAAAGTAAATGTCATGTCTGTTGTTTATCTCAAATTCAGCAGAGTATTTTTAAAAGGAAATATTTGCGGGGGAGGGTCGCAGGAAGTGGGGAAGGAGGAGGTTGGGGAGCTCCAGTTCGCGGGGTGTGGCTGTTTCACGGCAGAAACTCCAAGTAGCAGAGTGGATGTGGGTAAATGAGTTTTAAAACACACTTTGGGCTCAGGCGTGGAAAATGCCCCTTTGAAGTGACAACACTCCAAGTCAATTAATTGCAATGTAGCGTTTCCCTGAATCTATACCTAGTCTGTCAACACCAAAAAAAAAAATCCACTTAACTCCATCAGACGGGTTATTTGGCATTGTGTAGACACAGCTGTCTCGAACTAAAATTGTGAACACTTAAACATAGATGACACTGCACCCGAAGCCAGCTGGTATAGTGGCACCGGTCTGTAATTGTCTATGAAGATTGCTGAAGACTTCAGGGATTGGAAATGGAACTTAATTGCTCCAGCTTCAAGCTGGACCCCATTCAGTAGCAATTTACTTGAAAACCTAGGTTGTGATCAAATTTCTTAACAAATCAGTAACCTTAATAAGTTCAGGATCTTAGTTAGGAGTAAGACGTGGTGATTTAACTATGTAAATTGCCTTAAATATTAAAAAAAAAAAAAGATAATTCTTTACTGGCCTTTTTAAAAAACCATATTTAACCCAGCTTGTAGGCACTCAAAATCAGGAGACCCGAATGTAAAAGAAATGTAAAGACTTTTCTTGAGGACGTCTACTTTAGATTATGAAATTTTATCACTCTTTGCAAAAATCAAGTATTTGTCTTTGGTAATCCCCTTCCAGTGTTACTTGTTTCATGGACGTGTTCTGTGTGACTCTGAATATTATTTTATTCCCGCAGATGACATGGAAGCTATTCCTGTGAAACAGTTTGTGAAACACATCAGTGAGCTCTATTCTAATGACCAGCACGGGTTCTCCGAGGATTTTGAGGTGCGTTTCAGAACGGGAAATTCAGCTCCAGAAAGCTAACTCTTAGATTACAGGGATTTTTTTTTTGTAAACTTGAAATGAGCGTATTCCACAAACAATAACTGAGGGAAGTGGGGACTGATTCTCATTTCTTTTCCGTCCACTGAGAGTTTTAGCAGGCACCTCTTTTCCCAGTAACAACGAGGTGAAGGGGGGAGGTGGTTGCACAGTTCCTGAAGGTCTGTTCTGTGAAAGACTCAGTGGCAGAAAACGGGGGCAAAGGCAGATCCTCTTCACCTGCATTCTAACCGGGACAGCAGTCGTGATGCAGATGATACGGCTCCTAATTCCGCGTCATTTCCGGGACGCGCAGGGTGTTTCAGTGGAGGCGGCGGGTTGGGAGCCTGAGGAACGGGATGCTGGCTCCCCTAGCAGTGATCTTTCTTACCCTCCAGCTAGTCGTTTCATCTCTGATCCCCAGTTTCCTCTCTTTAAACAATGGCACTGCTGTCACCTACATCCCCAAAGTTGGTAAAAAAGAACGAACGAGCAGCAGGTTTGAAGGTGCCGGGGTAACTGTCAGGCCCCCGCGGAGGCTGGTCCTTGTTGTTTCCGTGATTATCAATCCTGGGAGAGGAGGCGCAGCCGTCTGACTCCAGGCACTGGTGTGCAGGAAGCAAGGTAGAGAGCAGCGCCACCACCCTGCCAGCGCTGGGGTCCGTGCCAGTTCAGCAGTGACAGGGTGTCAATGAGGAGCTATTAAACAGACTGCCCTTTTCTTCACTGAGCCGCTTAACTAAGGCACATCTCTGGCAGCAAGAGTTGTGCCGAGGAGGCCAAGTTTTCATGGCAGCTCAGCTGTCTTCTGGCTTTGTGGGGAAGTCGATTCCTTTCTCTGTCTCATTTCTACTTGAAAATGGAGACGGTGGTGGTGGCACTGACCTGCCCACCTCTTTTATGCAGTTGGTGCGGGGCGGGGCTCGGGGGGTGGCTGAGATGGGGGAGGCAGACGGAGTAACGGAGGCTGAGCGCTCCAGCCAGGAGCCACACCGCTGGGAGGTGCGATCATTCCGTGTGGAGCATGAGAAACAAAAAGAGGACCAGAAGCCCCCATCTCTGTGGAAATTTGGGGTCCCCAAGGCCATCCTAAAGGCAATCATATTGACAACCGGTTTTAAATTAAGCCTCTCTCCTAGCTTTTGTGTTTGTTGTTGTTTTATTTCTTGGGCAGAAGCAAAGCAAAGATGGGAGAGAGAAGGTCCCCTCTGATTTATTCTGCAAAGTCTGACGTTTCATGGACCAAACAAAAACATGTCAAGTGTTTAATGCGGCTATTAGATGCTGACCGAAAAAAGGTGCCTATCCAACTACAAAGAACATGGTTTAAAGTCAGGCATTTTGTATTCATGAGGACAGCGAATGTGTGTGGTGTTCAAGTGATTTAGTTCAATTGACTGCTGGCTGGATGACTGAGCAAGAATATTGAGGCATTTAACAATGTTGATGGTATTCAGGACAAACATTTATCCTCTAGAGAACAGAATTTGATCAGGATGATCAAATGCAACTCCAGTTTCTCAATTATTTATGATTTGAGACCCCAGTGCTATTCATCACAGCTGGTTTTGACACCATTTAATTATTCAAAATAATCAGCTACACCTCTGTAAACTTGATCTGACTTAAAATGGGCTTTGCTGCATCAGAATCATGCCGGTTAACAGATCCTGGGCACCTGCACCCTGTTCCTCTCCTACAGAAAATACTGTGGCTGGAAGCTTTTTTGTTGCCTACACTGAACTCTGTAGCTTAAGTATTAGTAGCTGGTATTTTCGGGATGTTATTTCACAGTCTCTCCTGATTTGAAAGGTTTCCAATCAGGGCTTTTCAGAGGAGGAAGAATGTCCTTTCTCCCCAAAAGGTCAGTCAGACAGCGATGTAAAGGGGGTCAGGTGAGTTAGTGCAGGTACTCACTAACATCCTGACGTCTTCAAATTTAGCGGAAATCTGAAGTATTTTACAACAGTGGTCCTATTCCTTTTTGGCACCTCAGCTTAGAAAGGAAAAAAAGGTAACAGGCTAGATAAGAAACTATCAAGGCTGTTTTAGAAACGAGATAGTAACAGGCTATCAAAAAAAAAAAAAAGAAAAAAGAGGTCAGGACGTGAGATTTCATGTAATTTAACAAGACTGAAACAAAGCCTTCATGATGGTAAGAGAGCAGGAACCTCAAGTCCAGATTTCCCGATCCTTTTATGTGGAACAGTGGCGGCCAGCATCCCCTTAGCACTGTTGCGTGGATGACCTCACTCGTTCCTCAGAAACACCCCATGAGGTGCCTGCCGTTTTACTGTCCCCATTTTACCGACGAGGAGCTTTACCCATGAGGAAACGAGGCACTGGCTGGCTCAGTTACGCAGTGGCAGCAGCAGGGTTTAAGACCAAGGCTTTCTGACTCAAGCCCGCATGTTTAACCTTGATGCCCTCCAGGCTTCCTTGAAGTAAGTCGTGGCCCGTGTGAGCGAAAGTCAAAAAGCAGTAACCAAGATGATCAGCGACTGTCTGAAAGCGATCGTGCAGCTGACAGGCCAAAAAGTCAGAGTTCCTTGGCAGGAAAAAAAAAAGGAGACCAGTCAAAATAAACAGCCCCAACTAAGAGAACTAGGAGCCCAGTATGTAATCTTTATGATCTAGAGGCCTCCCAGAGGGCCGAGAATCTGATTTCTAGAAATCTTACGTAACTTCTGAATTGAGGCCTGAAAGTAGTCAAAGAGCGAATCTTAAGATTATAGAGAAAACCGCTTAACAGGTAATATTTGGCCATTAAGGGGAGATAAAGCCACTCACCCTGCAGTCGCTGAGTACCTGCTGCTCTCTGGACATTGCATAAGGTGCAGAGATGAATCGATGAATCGGACAGAGAGGGGTTCAGTCTGGTGGGGGCCGGGGAAGAGCAGAGTGGACACAGCTCAAGTAGACGGGGGGCAAAGCCAAAAAAGTGCGACTAGAGAAATGAAGCACTGGAGGAGTACACAGGAGAAAGGCTCCTGTGGACTTTGGTTGGGTATTTCCACGAAAGTTCTGTTCTACTCAGTCTTGTTTTAAAATCTTGGATGGAAATGGAAAAAAAAATTTGGTGAATAGCTGTCATATGTTCAGAACTTTGCTGCTTGGAGGAGAATGAGAAATGATTCACTGGTAACATCGAGTCTTTGTCTAGAGGTGATGCTGAAAGCAAGCTTTTTGTCCTTGTCAGATAAGTTTTGGAGGCTGGTAAGAGCTGGGGACGTCACACCTCTAGCAGACTTTGCAGTCACTGGAAATAACATCAGTCCTTGTCTCAGGACAGCGTTCCAGGACTGTTCCCTTGGCTCCCTTACCTGACTTCAACCTCACACTTCCCCAGCCTCTCCAGTCATAATCCAAGTGGCTCCCAGAGGCATGATGCTAGAATACAATCTTGACAAAAAGGGGGAGCTCCAAATGCCCTGTGGGTCAACAGAATTAATAGGCGGGGGTCAGGAGCATCATAGATTGAAAGGCTGAGTGCAGAGATGAAGCCAGAGGTCCAACACCCCTTGACAATATCCTTTGGGGAACCGGGTCCATTACAGTCAACTCCAGCTGAGCTAAATTTGGGCCAGATGCTCATCTTAAATCAAGAGAACCAAGCTTTGTCCACCTGAGCCCATGCACCAAGGAACCAGCGGCCACAGCGGCTTTATGTGAGATGCAGATTTCTCGTGTTGCTGACGACACACGTATGGGAGTTGCTGGACAGAGGGCTGCTCTGTCCTGCAGGATGGCAGAAAATGATGCCTGTCGAGTTTCCTGAGCCTCTGGGCCAGAACGCCAGTTTGGGTCTTAAATGTCCTAAAGGAAAACATTTTAAACTCTTTATCATGAAAATAATCATAGCTGGTTAAATTGAGGTTTTTCTGAAGAGTAGGAGAAGGGTGTGTTGTGTTAGTCCAGTTCCACAAATCGTACATGAAAAATAATTCCATTTTATAGACCAGCTGCAGGACAATACATTGTGACATAATCTCCAAAAACGGGTTGGTTTTCTGGAGGGTAATGCCGTCATTTAAATGAAGCCACACGGGTTCGGATGTGGGGGAGAGGACAGGCATTCTTAGCCAGGTAAAGGGCACAGAAGCAAAGACCAGGAGGCTGTTCAGTCTTTTCAAGGGCCGTAGAGTTAAAGCTGCCTGGCACTGGGAAGGGAGGGGGTGGGAGATAGAGTGAGACCTTGAAAGCTCAGCTGAGGGAAAGGCCAGTCCCAGCAGCATCTGAAGAAGATGAGCGCGGCAGCAGTTGGCAGCCGGGGCGGAGGAGGGCGGAGGCAGGAGGATGAGTGCCATGCGCGGGGCCCGGTGAGGCCGGCTCTGCGTCTGTCCGGCACCACGCCCGCACCCAGCGGGCGTCGTGAGCTGAGCTCGCGGTCCTCGGGGGCGCGGTCCCCTGAGCACACCCGTGGGCAGCCTGAGCCCAGGCTCTGAGAATGTTCTGCAGACTCGGTCTAACACTTGGTCACCAGGTCCCAAATATTTTCTTCTCACCGTGCTTCACTGTCAAGCTAAGTGATCGGAAAGATTCCCAGATCTGTTGTGGTTGAATTGTGTTTGTTTGTTTTTTTTTCCAAATTGAGCTGCGGCCCGGGAGGACAGGAGGCCTCCACGTGCCCTTTCGACAGCCTCTCACATCCACAACTCCAGGCGGGAGGTGACTGAGCCGGTCGGTCATCTCCTAGGAGTTCTGACTCTTTTATCAGCTTCTTGTGTTTCTGTTCCTTTTTAAAGTTTTACTTCCTTTTAAATTTCTTGCTTTCCGTTGGCTCTTACCTGAGGCGATATGCCTGTTCGTAACTCAGAATAGAGAACCTCAGCTCTGTTATGTTAGACAGTGAAATACAAACAAACTTACCTCTTAAAACTGTTTATCAAGAGTGCGGAGTAACGTTACTATACACACTCTAGTGGCCAGGGTCACCTCAAAGGGTTTTAACACCTATGAAAATCACATTAACTCTGAAATGCCAGCTCTGATGGAAAAGAAGCTACTCCAGGGTCCGATGATATTGTCAGCATCTAAATGAGCTGGGCAGGGCTGCAGGGTTTTACAGATGACATTTATTATCCACGAGGCAAAATTGGAAGGCCCTAGGCAAGCCCCTTGGGTTCTAATAAAATCAGATTAAACATTATTTATGACTCTCCTTTGTTTTCTGCCATTCACATAATTGGAAAAGTGAAAAAGAGGCAACGGATCAGACCAAGGGTTTTAGATAACGCAGGGTCTGATTGGCCGTACTGAATGACCGCCTCACACAGCGCAGACAGCTGCTCCCAAGCCGTCCCGGTCAATTGCATTATGTTGTAATAGATGCCCAACCTCAGTCCATAGCGTGTGGTCAGATGCAGACAATGGGGGAAAAACATGTCAGTAAACAAAGCAAGTCTCAAACTACAGTCCTAAAGGCTGAAGTTTCAGCACAGGGTACCTCAGCACCTCGGCCCTGAAGAGGTACCTGCCAGAGGTACGGCCTTCCAAACCCAGAAACAGAAGCACGTCAGCCTATTTCGTGGATTTGTGGACAGACTGGGTTATTGTCCTCCAGAACGCAAATGCATTTGCAAAGGATTTCTGCGCCTGGAACTTCTCAGAAGAGTGCGCCTTAGGGTTTCAAGGCAGTTCTAAAAGGCAGGTCCCCCAAATGTTGTGAGTACGGCTAGCAGTCCTTCTGTTCGTGGACATGTTAAGATGGCAGACTCAATGCATCCTGCTCACGCTTTATCATCTACTTTAGAGAAAAGAGCCAAAGGCAGCCTCAGACCCTTGAAACCAGCGTTTCCCAAACCGTAGGTTATAAGCCATTTTAAATAGAATAGCAAACATCAGAGTTGATCACATTTAGTACAAGTAAGAAAAGCTTAAGTATTGTAATAAAAAAAAATTTTTTGGACAACTGGTAATGCCCACAGTGATGAAAAATTAAATATACAGCCTCGGAGAATCAGATGTCCGTGAATGTGGTTTCTTTGACTAGATAATGACCCTGTGTTTTTCTACCTTAGTTAAGTTCTTTGAGAACGGTGAGTCCCTCCTCTGTGCTTTGTGAATATAAAAAGCCAGCCAGTTCCATGTTTGATTATGCATGACGTAGATGCTGTGGAGATCACCCGTGATTGCCATTGCCAGTCCCTCGTGAAGAAAGTCTGCGTGCTTGTAAACTCTGGTGCATCTGTCACGTGGAAAACGCTTCTCCTAATGATGTTGTGTCACTTGCCCCTGCTCTCTGTCGCAGCTGTGCGCTGCTAATGACTTCCCTTACTAAGTTGGCTCCAGTACTTTCTGGTGTTTGAGGCAGGCAGGGTAGGAAAATGTGGCTTTTTAGCAGCCTCCTATTAGGCTAAGAATGATTTTTGTATCCATGGCAAAGGTTTGCTGGAGAGAGTGGCTCCTCCCAGTGCTGTTTTTCTAAAGAAGGATAACGTACATAAAATTTGAGTTAACAAATGATGCATCAGAGCCACACGTATTTGAGTCAGATACGACAACTGAGTGGGTTCTACATTAATGTCATTTCAGGACTGGGTCTTTATTGTCAATATGCAGTCTGTTAGTTACAAAACGAGGCTGGAATGGGGAGGGCGTAGCTCAGTGGTAGAGCGCATGCTCAGCACACGCTAAGTGCTAGTTTCATTCCCCAGCACCTGCACTAAAATAAATAAGTACATAAACCTAGTCACCTCCCCCGAAAACAAAAAAAATCAAAACAAAACGGAAAAAAAAAAAAAACGAGGCTGGAAGGACTGTCAGCATATTGAAAATCACGGTGGAGAAGATTCTTCTGCGTGGAGTATTCCTGTTCAGCCTTTAAGACCTGGGAGAGTGATCTCCTGTCTAAAGCTTTACGTCCTCTTTGCCTCCATCACAGTTTCTTCAGGCCTCTTTTCTGTTAATCACATTTGACTGCCATCATCTTAGTGCCTGTTTTCCCCGCCCTTCAGACTGTGACATACTCAAAAAGAGACACTGTTTTGTAATCCCCACGCGTAGGTCATAATACGAAATACAGTGGATGGTCGATGAATTAGTAAAGAATGAAATCCTTTTATTTTGTGTTTCTCAAGTTGAGTTTGGGGAGGTAACGGTGGCCAGAGGCTAGGGAGTGAGTAAATACTTTGTGCTTTTGGATGTAAATAGTTCCTTTCTTTCTGTGACCTTACTGGTAAACCTCTAAAGCTAAAGCGTGTCTAAAAGCCTTTGAAATCTTCGTGTTTGTTTTCTTCACTAGGAAGTCCAGCGGTGCACGGCTGACATGAACATCACTGCAGAACACTCCAATCATCCAGATAACAAGCACAAAAACAGATACATCAACATTTTAGCCTGTGAGTAATAAACTTTAAACTATCTTCAGCTGCGAGGAAATTAAATCTTCACGCTGGGTGTAAGCTGAAAGGCAAGCAGTCAGAATCAGGATGCCGAGAGAAAGCGACACTTGCAAGTTAACCTCTCGCTAGGCCATCTTCTTCAACAGTGTCTGCAAAGAAGGGGGCACATTTTCTGCCCCCTTCATCTTTCTGTTACACCTCTGCCTAGTAATCAGGTGATGCAGGGGAGATGTTCTGAACTTCTCTGTTTTCACATGAAGTGATTTCATAACCGATGCTGGGAACCAAACTTTAACATCACGAGGCTGTCTTGACATTGTTTCTAACCAATGAGAGGCAAGTCTTTCAATACAAATAGAAGTAATGCGAATTGAGTCACGGAAGCTGAATTTCAAAGCAGTGTAAGATTAGGTAATTGGTTTATAGGTCCCTGTGGCCCACGTCCTTAGTCCCGTCCAACACATTTCCAGGGTCAAGAGTGTCCTGAAAGTTGAGGACTCAAACAGGTGTTGTTCTTACAGGCTCAGGGGTACCCTAGGAGGACTGGCTGCTTCTGTGGCCAGAATGCCACTTGTCACAGACACTGGGGCTCAGGTGACTGGCAGAAAATCTGTGCTTCAGTATTAAGGGCAGGGGCCCAGGCGTTTAGGTTAACATACACTATGATAAGGAACACAGTACGTAGTTTTATGTCACGGTGCATTTAAATTGATCCACTTAAATTTGCACACCACGGCAGATAGTTTTTTTTTATGAAGCATTGGTGAGGTGTATAATTCACATGCCATATAAAAGTCACCCATTTTTAAGTTAATTAGAATTTGAATTGAAAGTGAATTTCAGTGGTTTTTTTTTATTACAGTCACAGAGTTAGACAACCATCACCACTATCCAATCCACATTTTCAGCATCCCGGCCAGAAACCCCTTACCCATTAGCATTCACTCCCACCTCCTACTTTTCCCATGTCCCTAGGAACTGCTTATCGACTTTCTGTCTCTCTGGGCTTGCCTGTTCTGGACATTTCCTATCAACACAGTCATACAGTATGTGGTCTTTTGTGTCTGGCTGCTTCTACTTGGCATGATGTTTTTAAGATGTACTGATAGGAGCTATGCCCTTTGTCCGGCTGAATAATGCTCCATGGTGTAGATACACCACATTTTGTTTATTCATTTATCATCTGATGGATATGTGAGTTGTCTCTACTTTTTGACTATCATAAATAATGCTGCTCTGAACGTTCGTGTACAAGGTTCTGTCTAGGCATGTTTTTTAGTTCTCCTGGCTATATACTTAGGACTAGAATGGCTAGGTCGTACGGCAACGTGGTGTTTAACATTCTGAAGGACTGCCAAACTGTTTGCCAAAGCGGCTACCCCGTTTTACATCCCACCAGCAATATATGCAGGTGCCAGCGTTTCTGCATCCTTGCTGATAACTTGTTCGTTTTGTTCCTTTGATCCTAGCCATCCTAATGAGTGTGAGGTGGTACCTCACTGTGGTTTTGCTTTGCATGTCACTAATGATTCGTGATGTTGAACACCTTTTCATGGTTTGATTGGCTACCTATGTATCCTCTTTGGAGAAATGTCTATTCAGATCTTTTGTTCCCTTTTCTTTTTTTTGGATTACCTCTCTTTCTCTTGTTGAGCCGTAAGAGTTCTTTATACATACCAGACAGCAGTCCTTTATCAGATACCGGGTTTGCAAATATTTCCTTCTATTCTGTGCATTGTCTTTTCACTTTTTGATGGTGTCCTTTGAAGCACAACTTTTTATTTTTTTTGTTGTTTTGTTTTAAGATTTTCTTTAGAAATAATTATAGATTCAGAGGAAGGTATAGTTGATGTACAGGGAGGCCTGTCCACCCTTCACCTGGTTTCCCCAAGTAACATCTTGCACAGCTGCAGGAAACATCACAGCTGAGAGACTTAACATCGAGTTCCTCCGTCCACAGAGTTTATCCTCATCTCACCAGGTTGACGTGGAGTCATTTGTGATATTAACAGTTTTAAATGTGATCTGTGGACTCATTTGGAGTGTCTCTGCTTAGTACAGAGAAAGGCATCAGTAGGAAACATGGCATCATTATAAACTTATGTGGACACCTACTTGGTTTTTCACTTGTTTTGGCTATATTTTTGCCTATACATGCACGTATTCGTTTTCATATTCTTTTCTCATTAAAGATTATTACAAGATATTGAATATAGTTCTCTGTGCTCTACAGAAGAAGCTTGTTTTTTTTTTCGTTTAACGTATTTTTGTATATAGTGGCTAACATTTGCAAATCTCAAACTCCCAAATGTATCCCTTCCCACACCCTTTCCCCTGTAACCATAAGATTGTTACTAAGTCTGCAAGTCTGTTTGTTTTGTAGATGACTTTATAGTGTCCTTTCTTTTTAGATTCCACATATGAACAATCTCATATGGTATTTTTCTTTCTCTTTCTGGCTTACTTCAATTAAAATGACAATCTCTAGGTCCGTCTATGTTGCAGCAAATGGCATTATTTTATTCTTTTTTATGGCTGAGTGGTCTTCCATTGTATAAATGTACCACAGCTTCTTGATCTACTCATCTGTCGATGGACATTTAAGTTGTTTCCATGTCTTGGCTCTTGTAAATTGTGCTGCTGTGAACAGCGGGGTGCATGCATCTTTTCACATTAGAGTTCCCTTGGGATATATACCCAGAAATGGGATGGCTGGTAGGTCTGTTTTTAGTTTTTTGAGGAATCCCCATACTATTTTCCATAGTGGCTACACCAAACTGCATTCCCACCAGCAGGGTAGGAGGGTTCCCTTTTCTTCACACCCTCTCCAGCATTTATCGTTCATGGAGTTTTGAATGATGGCCGTTCTGACTGGTGTGAGGTGATACCTCAGTGTAGTTCTCATTTGCATTTCTCTGATAATTAATGATACTGAACACTTTTTCAAGTGCTTATTGGCCATTTGTATGTCTTCGTTGGAGAATTCCTTGTTAGGTCTTCTGCCCATTTTTGGATTGGTTTTTGCTGCTGCTGTTGTTGTTATTAAGTTGTATGAGCTGTTTATATATTCTGCAAAGTAAGCCCTTTGTCGGTCACGTCATGTGCAAATATTTTCTCCCATCCTGTAGCCTGTCATTTTGTTCTGCGTATGGTTTCCTTATGGTTTCCTTTGCCGTGCCAAAGCTTATAAGTTTAATTAGGTCCAATGTGTTGGTTTTTGCTCTTATTTCTGTTGCCTGGGTAGACTGCCTTAGGAGAACATCGCTACAAATCTAGTCAGAGACTGTCTTGCCTATGTTCTCTTCTAGAAGATTTAGTGTGTCTTCTCTTATATTTAAGTCTTTAACCATTTTGAGTTTATTTTTGTGCACGGTGTGAGGAGGTGTTCTAACTTCATGTACACGCTGCTGTCCAGTTTTCCCAACACCGCTTGCTGGAGAGACTGTCTTTACTCCATTTTATTTTTGCCTCCTTTGTCAAAGATTAATTGGCCATAAGCCTATGGGTTTATTTCTGGGCTCTCTGTTCTGTTCCATTGATCCATGTGTCTGTTTTTATGCCAGTACCACACTCTTTTGATTACTATTGCTCTGTAGTATTGTCTGAAGTCTGGGAGAGTTAAGAGATTCCTCCAGCTTCGTTCTTTTTCTTCAATGTTGCCCTGGTAAATCTGGGTTTTTGTGATTCCATATGAATTTTAGGATTGTTTGTTCTAGCTCTGTGGAAAATGCTCTTGGAACTTTGATAGGGATCGCACTGAATATGTAGATTCCCTTGGGTGGTGTGGACATGTTAACAGTATTAATTCTTCCAACCCATGTGCGTGGAGTATCTTCCCATTTATTTGTGTCGTCTTTGGTTTCCTTCATTAATGTCTCACAGTTTTCAATGTACAGGCCTTTCACCTCCTTGGTTAAACTTGTTCTTAGGTGTTTTATTCTCTTTGATTGTAAATAGCATTGTTTTCTCTATTTCTCTTTCTGATAGTTCATTATTCGTGTATAGACATTTCAACAGAATTTTCATGTACTGATTTTTGTATCTGCAACTTTACTGAATTCACTCAGTAGCTCTTAACAGATTTTTGGTGGAGTCTTTAGAGTTTTCTGTATATGATATCATGTCATCTGCAAACAGTGGCAGTTTTACTTCTTCCCTTATACTTTGGATGCTTTTATTTCTTTTTCTTGTCTAACTGCTCTGGCTAGGACTTCCATACCATGACATATAAAAATGGCCAGAGTGGACATCCTTGTCTTGGTCTCGGTCTTAGGGCAAAAGCTTTCGGCCCTTCACCATTGAGTGTGATGTTAGCTGTGGACCCATCACATACGGGCTTAGGATTTCTATGTACAGGATCATGTCATCTGTGAATACAGTTTTCCCTCTTCCAGAAAGAATGTTAAGAGAACCAAAAGTCATTTTGGAACAAGAGTATTTGTTTCAGTTGTCTGAGAGACTCAGGAGAAGGAGGAAAAAGAGAACAAGGAAGAAGAGTCAAACCTTTCTTTCTCTCCGGTCTTCGGTCGGGCTGGCTCTGGCAGTATTTGTTGGCCAGCTCGGTCAAGGCTCACCTTCCTGAGAGTGTGGCGACTTGTCCATCCACATACTTCATTTCTGACCATGTAAGTCAGCCAGACATACACACATACGTGCCTTGCCTGTGTCTGCACACGTCATCCTCTCCACCAGAGCATCCTTTGCTTCTAGTGACGTCACTGCCTTGGCTAAAAGTACGGGACAGAGAAGAGGGAGGGGGAAAAAGGAACTTCTGTGTGATGTGCCGAAGGGTCATGGTGTTTTGCTGGAAAAGCACCATTTCTGGGTAGATGTGTTTTTAATGTCACAGGTTCATTTGAGGCTTTACTTTCACAAGATCAGATTAGATGTCGTTTTATGTTCATAAGTTGAGACGGTTGCGTTTTGGTGTTCTCTTGGCTACTTGGTCAGATTCTCAGTACATCACCTGTCACCGCGGTCTCCCCGCATGTTAATGCCTTTGTACAGCAAAGCACAGCATGGGAAGGTCACAGAACAAGTCAGAGTAGCCCATGAATGTGCCAGAAACCCAAGTAAGAAGCATCATCTCTCAGGAGCCATCACAGCTTTCACAGTATACATGGATGCCACCTCCTATAGTGATCTTTGTAGCCAGTCCTGTTACCTTTTTGATTAATTACGAATTTTGTTACCTGAGGAGTATGTGTTCGTGTCACTCTGAGAAAGAACAATTTAGTGTTTACTAAGGCATTACTAAGGCATTGCAGTTTGGATCCACGTGCCTTAGGAGAATATTTTCATTTATATCAGGCAGCCCCTGTTCAGGTCCACTGTAGTCTGAGAGTTTGTCAGCACAGCAAAGCAAGTCACAGTTCCAGGAAGGCGGAGGGCTTTGAAACAGTGCCTGATGGAGTCTGAGGTCAGTCATGCCTAGGCTAGTCCACTCAGTGGACTCCTTTCTGAGCTGGCCTTATATGATCATGACTATAAACAGAAATGTAAATTGGCTTTTGGCCATTCTGTTCCTAACTGGGGAAGAATAAAACTATGACATCAGCTTCCTTTTATTTGTCTTCCTATAAATACAAGCTCGTTCTGTCAGGTAACTGGAGGCACATGTCTCCGCCCACCTTTTGTTCATTGGCAAAGGTTAAGTGGGTCTTTAATCCTGACCGAGGACTTGAGATTCCTACAGTGAGATCACTGTTATAAGCAAGCTCCAGTTCCCTGCTTTACTTAGGTTCTGTTGGGGTGGTGGGAAGTCCAGCAGAATTGAGCAGTGGCGTCTCCTCAAAACAGATGCGCTGGACTTGATACAAGATTCACCTTTTTATATTTGTATGAATGGGGAGCGGAGGGGTCATAGGTTATCAAAGGCCTTGGAAATTGGTTTTTAAATATAGGAGAAGATTTTGAAGGGTTGCAAAACTTGAATGGTTTCATATGACCGAAGGAAGACTTCAGTTTGCATTTCTTGGGCACTGACAGGTCAGAGCGTGGGGTAGGAGTGTCCCTGTAGTTTGCAGATGGACTTGAGTGCTGCATCTTTGAGTGTTTAGGTGTTTTGTCGGGGGTACTCTGAGAGATGCCGTGTTGCCTCTTTGCCTTGTTTTGTGCTTCGGAATGCTGCTAGTGTTTGAATTACACATTTTGTTTTTTTGCCTTTTTTTTGTTACCCTTTATAGATGATCACAGTAGGGTGAAGTTAAGACCTTTACCAGGAAAAGACTCTAAGCACAGCGACTACATTAATGCAAACTATGTCGATGTAAGTCAGAAATGTTTTTATAAACCTATTTCTGATAAATGCAGAGTGCCACAGAGGCTGCTGAACGTGTGTTAATGCCGCACAGAGCTTTCCCGGGAAAACGCAGCCTGGTACTCAGTGGGGAAAGGCACTCGTACTGTGACCTGGTCTGTGGCCCCGCTCCCATCTCACTGTGTGCTGTGTCGTCTTTGAAGGGTTACAACAAAGCGAAAGCCTACATCGCCACCCAGGGACCTTTAAAGTCTACGTTTGAAGATTTCTGGAGGATGATTTGGGAACAAAACACTGGCATCATTGTCATGATTACCAACCTGGTGGAAAAAGGAAGAGTAAGAGCTTCTTGACTTTATCATCTACCTTCATTCAAAAAGTATTTACGGAGTACCTGCTGTAGGGGGGAGCTTTGACCAGGCCTAAAGAGTTAGACAGATGCGGATGTCCTCTTTGCCAGGAAGGTGAGCTAAGCGCTTATCAGAATGGATCAAATGTGATGATCCAAGCGAAGAGGACAGTAATTAGGGGGATGCTGTAAAACACACGAAAGCGTCCTCTAGTACAGAGAGTTTTTTCAAAAGAGCTAACATTAGAGGTGAGATTTTGAGCAGTGGAGGAAGAGGAGAGTTACACAGGCTTGAAAAGAGGAGGGACATCCCAAGAACAGGGGTTAAAAAGAACAAAAGCCAGGACATTGAAGGAAACTGTAGTCCAGGAACTGCTGATAGTTCAGAATGGGGGGAGTAAAGACTTGGCCATCGGTAAGAGTACCTTTTTTTTTTTTTTTTAAGATGGTGACTGATGTTTTGAATTTACTGGATTATGAGCATACATTAGATGCTGATTTAGGCTGGAATCAGGGTCGAGGCTCAGGTTCATGACTCGGAATCACAAGTGCTCCACTTTGACCCCGGAGTCCCTGTTCTGCCTTTGATGACCCAAGTTGTACCACAACAGCTCTCGCGGTTCCAGGAGGCTTGCTTTCAGCTGTGAACACAGCGTGGCCTTCCAGAGAATACGTAAAGTCCCTTTTGGACATATCTTACCCACAGATAAGACGCACAGGTGTTTTCTTAGCGCCTCTATTAAGCGCATCACGTGCGGAAAGGTGTTCACGCATCCTAGCCCCAGTTTTGCAAATGACCTTGCCGACCTTGGCCGCATGTGTCCCAGGATTGGCCTCTTCAGCAGCCACATCTGCCTGAAAGGATTTCAGCCCATCCCTTCCTTTTTTTTTTTTTCCAGTCAAAAACAACGTGGCAGTATTAGCAGTGTTTTAAAACTGTCACTTGAAACCGTGTTATGAACGGTGAAATTGTGGTGTAAATTGCAGTTGTAATTGACAACTTTTTTTTCCCCTCCGCAGAGAAAATGTGATCAGTACTGGCCAACAGAGAACAGTGAGGAGTACGGAAACATCATTGTCACTCTGAAGAGCACAAAAGTACACGCCTGCTACACGGTTCGTCGTTTTTCCGTCAGAAATACAAAAGTGAAGAAGGTACTGCAGGGCGGGGCGGCTGCCAGGGCATCGCTTTTTAAACTACTATGAAAATTACGGTACAAGCGAGGCCAACTCTCGAACCAACTTGGTGGGGTGTTTTTTTTTAAGTATTTTTGAAGCATTTTTTCACAACTCGTTTGATTGACATCAATGTATGGTGTGAAAGATATTGGCAAAGCACATAATAGAATTTAACTGGCCTGACTGAGTTCTTTAATCTCTTTCTGAAGAAGGCTTCATTTGGGGGGCGGGGGATCGTCTGAGGTTTTGGTAACCGGCAAATATGGCAGCATCTGGTTGCTGATTGAGCTTTTGAATTCCAATTTTCTGACAGCTTTAAAGCACTGTTTCTCAAAGTGTGTTCCAAGGAATGCCAGCCGTGCAGGATGCCTGCCAAAAGCAAATTCTGTGATTTAGCAAGTGTGGGAAATGAGTGCCACCTGATACGTGGTTCCCCCTTAGAAATTTACAGCAAACACAGGTACCCAGAGTGCTGGAGTTAAGCAACCGATAGAAATGTGTAGTGTTTCTTAAGGCGACTTAACAGTGCTGTAGAGAAGGGTTAACATCCTGAGTCACACCTTGTGGAAATGCTGCTTTCAAGTTACCTCAGTGTCCCTTGTGGAAAATCCCCTGTCCCCTCGAGACTCACAGGTCACTACTGTGGTGACTGAACTCCAGACCCGTGGTCATTAAGACAAGTATTACTCTGCAGAGGCTTAGGTAGGGCAGTTGTATGTAGCAGTGGTTCTTAATTTTTAATTTTTTTTAACAGTCTTGGACATCTTTGAGAATGTGGTAAAACTGTCACCCCCTTGTCCCAGAAGAATTCACATGTAGTCACATTTTTATATGTAATTTCAGTGGCTCTGAAGTTCATTTGTGATCCGAGGTGAACAGTACTTTCGTTGTATAGTTTTTTTTTCCCTGAGAATGACAGAAGTGTATGAAAATCAGTGGCACGGCTTTCATCTGTGTTCTCTATCAGAGAGCTGTGAACTGGCTTAATTCTGAAGGAGTACAAAGCCATCGCTCATGAAAACACTTCAAGTATTTAAACATGGCCCGCTTAACTTGTATTTTAGAAACAGCTTAAGTCCGAGAAGGAAGTCAAATAGGAAGTTTAGGTGTTCTGCACACGGCCAAGTGGACAAAAGTAGTCACTGGATATGAGGGAAGATGAGAGAGAACAGAAGAATGAGGACATCCCAGGTCTGTGTAGCTCGGGGCCGAACACCCTACAAGCTTCAGTGTCGACTGAATAGTGACCTGCAGTCATCAATTTTTTTTTTAAATTTTAGAGGTATTAGTAATAAGAGAAAACCCATCCCAGGAAGTGATCTGTTGGGGGAAATTTTTCATCCAAAGTAGTTAACATGAAAAAAAAAAGTTCAGCCACTCAAAGAAATCCATTTATAAAAGTGACAGATACATTGGTGGTTGCCTTTGAGTCCGGAGCTTAAGGACATTTGGCACTCAGGCTCCTGCCACAGTCCCTGGGGAGTGCGGAGCAGCACCAGCCCTTGGGTGCTGAGGGTCCCACCCGGACAGTGGACAGAGAATGGGGCTGGGGGCGGGGGAGGATGCTTCCAAATCTCAGAAAACTGGTATTCGACCTTCATTCTTGGTTCAGTCTTCAACCATTTTCTCTTCTTAAGAGATGTCCAGCGAGGTCATGCTCCCGCAGTTAGGGTGAACGAGGTCAGAGGTCATGTTCTCGACATCCTTACAAGATTTTTATCCAGAATGCCCCCTGTCAGCTTTAAAGACCTCTTTTTTCACCTTTGTCTTAGGGCCAGAAGGGAAACCCCAAGGGGCGCCAGAACGAGAGGGTGGTGATCCAGTACCACTACACGCAGTGGCCCGACATGGGGGTCCCCGAGTACGCCCTCCCGGTCTTGACCTTCGTGAGGAGATCGTCCGCAGCCCGGACGCCGGAGATGGGCCCCGTGCTGGTGCACTGCAGGTGGGCGTCGGGCAGGCCCCCCGCCGCCGGGCCTCAGCTTTTCCAGTGAGCGGAGCGGCGGTGCGCGCCTTGCGACCCTGCTGCTGCTCTGTTTGACTCGGAAACTGGGACTTGCCCTGGAGCCCCAGGGGGCGGGGAAAGGGGGTTACGGAAAGTAATTATCCATACCCCTAACGTTAAGAAATCATCTGCTCTTAGAGAATGAATCTCCAGGCTTCATAGCGCCATCAGTGATAAAATCTCCACTGTTCGTGGGAAATTGTTGGCAGCTCCTAATAACATAACACACACACACACACACACACACACAAAATGACCTTTTCAACACAACTGTAGAACTTTGCACACTAGAGATTTTGAGGTTTTGAATATGGCTTTTCTGTAGGGTTTCTCCAAGTAACTGCTTTATGTTTGCAAGGATTCCAGCTCATACATGATCTATAAAATAGCTTTTCAAAAGCCCTTGTGAAGCCTGTTTTCCCTCAACTAGCTGAAATAACTGTAGGCGATTTCTTAAGAATGCTTGTATTGTGTTTCGTTTGTACGTCTTGGTTTCTTTCACCTTGGCGTTCGCACGGTCTTAGTCTGGGATGGGCGTTGCCAGGCTGCCCAGCCTTTTCTCGGCATTTCTGTCTGAGATTCCATGGAGCGAGTCCTTCGCACAAGCTGGAACCAGTCTTCTGTTTAAAGTCACTTAGAACTGCGCATGTTTGCGAACCCACTTAGAATCATTAAGATCAAGGCAAAAGTCTTCGCAGAGAGCTTGGGTATCAGCAGAGTTGGGCGAGAGGGCTGGGGGCGGGGGGGAGGGAGGTTCTGCCAAAAGCTTCCTCAGCCCTGCCGGACCCGGGTCTTCCGAGCTGGTTCCGTTTCCTTAAACAGTCGGAGACCAGAACTCCTAGGTGGGCGCTGTTTCTACACCGGGCTTCGGAGAGAATAGAACAGCGGGGTTAGTGCCAAAGCTCCCTAGAGATGTAGATGATGAGCTTTCCAGTCCGTGGTGCACGAGGCGACAGCCGGGGTGCGAGGTGACTGCGGCCCTGTCTTCCAGCGCCGGTGTGGGCAGGACGGGCACCTACATCGTGATAGACAGCATGCTGCACCAGATCAGAGACAAGAGCACCGTCAACGTGCTGGGCTTCCTGAAGCACATCAGGACGCAGCGCAACTACCTCGTCCAGACGGAGGTGAGGGGGAGCCCCTCCCTACTCTCCTACTCCTCTCCTGCTCCTCTCCCTGGAATCGAACCTGCAACCCTCACTATGCTAGGCCTACACTCTACCCCTAACCTACCACCTCTCTCTACTTACCTTCCTTTCCCCACGCTCACCTTTCACTCCCCTGCTCAGGGAGTAAGCTGGCTCACCTCCTGTAAGTAAGTAAGTAAGTAAGTAAGTAAGATCAGGCTCCACCTGATGTTACTGAAGATCTGAAGAAGATTCAGGGTCATCACCTGAGAGAGGCTGGCCTACTGCTCACCCGAGAAGGGGAGCCTTACAGAGACTACAGGAAAGCTTGGAGTCTCGGGGCTGGCAAAGGGGTTCCTGTCCCCTGCACAGGGGATTCAGTCTCAGGAGAAGAGGGACAGATCTCTCAAGATGCCTGAGACCTCTGTGACAGGACACGCCCTTACTGAGCCGAGCGAGCCTGGGCCTTCCTTCGTGCCCTCCTCCCCCTCAGTGAGTGCCATGTACTTTCAGGAGCAGTACGTTTTCATCCACGATGCCTTGTTGGAAGCCATTCTGGGGAAGGAGACGGAAGTATCTTCCAGTCAGTTGCACAGCTACGTTAACAGCATCCTCATACCAGGAGTCGGAGGAAAGACACGACTGGAAAAACAATTCAAGGTAATGCTTTGAGTACATCTCTTTGCTGAAAAAGCAAGAAAGGAAAGAAACGCCTGGACTGGGGTGGGGGCTCACGTGTGCTTTGCAGGAACGTGCAGCCGTCCAGTGCGGCACGTGGGAGAGTGAGGTGCCCACCTACGTAGGAGCTGCTGGGAGCCGAGCGCACAGTGCGGTGCGCTGCTGCCTTGTGGGCACTTCGGTGCTGTCTGGACAGAAAACTCAGCCCGACCGCAGTGACAGAATGCTCTGAACCAGTCGTTCTGGTCCAAAAAGTAGCCTCTGAATTTTCTCAGAACTAATCTATCCTCCCTCAGGAAGAATGGCTGCTTGTTGACATCTTATCCCCCACAGCCAGGCTCTTTGAGAGCCATGCCTAGCTGATAATTTAGAAACCACAGAAAAGAGTTCCTGAAGGAAACTGGACAAAAGCTAACTGTTCCCCAAGGGGTGGTTCTTTTCCTTTGATGGGGGCATGAAGAAGTGGGAGAGGCACGTAGGTTTATATGACACCGAGTGACATAAAGGCAGAAACAGAGACTATAAGAAATACCAGGTCATTACGCTCAGGACCTCTGAGCCATCTCCAAGTACTGCGTGCTTCCCTCGGTATTGCTTGCTCCTGAGACTTTCAAAATGTGGCTCTTTTGCACATTTTTCTACATGTAATTGTTCATCTTGTATCGGGATGGAAAGAAGGAGATGAATCCCTGCCGTCTTGAGTCTTCATGGTAAAACCGTCCGTAGACTCCAAAGCCTTCCTTGGAGTCCCAGCTGACAGCAGTGAGACTCTCAAGCAAATGATAACAAATGATGTGAAACGAAAAATAGATTAGTGTCACCGAGTTCAGCGATAGCAGTTTAAAATGTCTAGCTCTCCTTATCGAACGCCCTATCTACTCTAAAAACCATTAAAGGCAATTAAAAGGGAGGACATAAGGTCCTTTTTTGAATGTTCAGTATGAATTCTAAAAAAATATTAAGTACCATTATTTGTTAATATTCTGCCTTTCCTGTTTCTGTAACATTTGTCTATACATACTTTTAAAAAAAAATCCATCAAAGAAATCAGTTCATTGGAAACCAAGTACTGTGTTCCTTTGTAGGCACTAACCACTTTAGAACTAAAATAGAAAAGAAAAAACAAAACCAGAATCAGAAGCTTAAACTCCACCCAGGTCACTAGACAGAAGTTACGGAGCATCGGCACGAGGCGCCCACTCCCCTGTGCTCTACTGGGGCCCCCCGCCCCCCCCAAAATACAAGGACAGACAGGTTATTGGCACCTCCTCCAGCTCGCCAGGCACCTGCTACCAAGTATACCTTTCTTCTGGTTTTGCTGTTTATCCCAGCTTGACGGAGACATAGTTGAGGGTGTATACAACACAATGATTTATTATGTATGTATATGCAGAACAATGATTGCCACAGTGACTTGGTGATTTAGCAAAGCCACAATTTTAACCCTTTGAAAGAAGACTCAAACACTGCTTCTCTTTCAGCTGGTGACACAGTGCAACGCAAAATACGTGGAATGCTTCAGTGCGCAGAAAGAGTGCAACAAAGAAAAGAACAGGAACTCCTCAGTCGTGCCGTGTAAGCTCTTCACGGCGGTCCCCCTGGACTGTCTGCCTTTTCTCACTGAATTGACTGTATGTGTACAGAGGCAGCTGGTACCCAGGGGGAAGGGCATGCTCGGGACAACTAAAGCAGGAGGGGTGCCTCTCAGCACCAGCCAGCTGTCGCATCTCTGGGACGTGGAATCTAGCTTCTTTTCACCTTGACATTCAAGAGTTAGACCAGGGTCTGCCTTAGAAAGAAAAAAGTCAAGTCGCTGTCCCTGCGGCTTTAATGCTCTTTTAATACCTAGACTCCTGGATTAATCTGCATAAGTGGAACTACATTATTAAATTCTTCTGGCCATTGACACCATGACACTGCTGTGTGAGTAACTCGGGTCGCAGCAGGGGACTGTGTATGAAGGCTGCAGACAGAGGCACGGGGGACCACTGGAGAGATGGTCTCCGTGGAGAAAAGGCCAGTACTTTCTAGGCCCTTCCAGAGGGGACAGACAGAGGTAAAGGGATGGCAAAAAAGCACAGCGCACTATGTTGGTATCATCATAGGCATATCAAACCAGGGTCAAAAATTATGAAACCCTCTGTCACCTCTGCACAGAGGATTCTCTCAGTGATCTGGTGGGAAGACCTCTCCCAGAGAACAAAGTTGTTCCTGTAATGCGTGTGTCCTTATGGGGACGTGCAGCCAAATTTCCTTTCACGCTCTGCCGTAGCTGGTAACGCTTGAGCTTGGGTAAAACCAGAGGTAAGTCTTAAAAAGAAAGGGGACCCAACGGGACATGCTATTCAACAAGTAAATCTCAGACAGCACTGTTGCTCATGTTTGTAACAAGGCAAATGTGCTCTCGTTTCTCCATGTAACAGCCGAGCGAGCTCGCGTGGGCCTTGCACCGTTGCCTGGAATGAAAGGAACGGACTACATTAATGCGTCTTACATCATGGTGAGAGTCAACAGCTCATTAGAAATAAAGTCACGTAAAGTGAAAGGTGCTGAAGAGCAGATACCATCTCTGAGGCTTTCCTTTTTCAAATAATTTCTCGATGTGTAGTATCAAAATAAGAGACATTTCTGTATCCAGAGACCTCTGACAAAAATACCTCATCAGTGGGGATACAGAAATGCTCAAATTAAGGAAATACTTTATGCTAATTTCACCCACCAGGTCTTGGACTAAATGCTGAAATTACTGTAATATAAGAACAACAGGGGTAAGCAGAAGTCAACTGGACGTAGGCAGAAAATTGTCTATTCATATCAGCAGAAGTACATCTAAAAATTAGCCAAAGGCACTAAGTGCCTTTTTCGATTATTTCACGGAGGTCAGAACAGGGCTGGTCTTCCTGCTTCATGAGTTTATTTCACTACTGCAGAGTTAGACAAAAACTCTCATAATCACTGGGGTTTTTTTTGCTTTTCTAACCACAGGGCTATTACAGGAGCAACGAATTTATTATAACCCAGCACCCCCTGCCGCACACCACGAAAGATTTCTGGCGAATGATCTGGGATCATAATGCGCAGATCATTGTCATGCTGCCAGACAACCAGAGCTTGGTAAGCAGTGCGCATCTGCTGTATATTAATGAGCCCGTGCGGCCCCAGGCACCGGTTAGCTCGCGACAGGGCTGCAGTGCCTGCGCGCGCCAGGGAGGGAACGGACACGTCTCAGCTTTGACGTCTGCACGGGTTCCTTGCGCAGTCTCACCGCCACTGACCCCGTACGGTCCACCACTGGGTTTCTAATGCTGCTGCTACCCGCCCTCAGCTGTACCGTGCGTGGCGCGGCGGGAGGAGGCGCTGCCGAGGGCCCTTTTACCAGCTACACTGATGATGACCCGAGCCGACCCCCTGGTTGCTGGGTGTCGTGATGAAAAACAAGTAATAGTAGCTAGCATTTATCGAGCATAACTTTTTTCACAGGTAGGAACTCATTGAATCCTCTCTACAACTTATGACAAGGGACCTCCCGTCTACCTAGTAGCTGAGAGAACTGAGGGGAGTCACCTGCCCAGGGGCACATACAGAGAACTGGAGCCAGGATCTGAGCCTGAATCCCGGGTCTCACTTTGCTGTTGTGTTTGTCCCACCCCACATCATAGAGATGTGCCCCAGCTGCCCCCCAAAAAGTGTCCGAAGTACTAATGATGGGGGATGGAGCCAAGAGACTCACCGCTCGCCCTCTCCCACAAATACACCAAGGATGACACCTCAAACCCTCTGAGTCGCACAGAGCACCCACTGACCGCTGGCGGAGGGTGTCTCGTTTCGAGTACAGGCGGATTCTCACCAAATCCGATAAGGTTCATACTGTAGCACAGAAACCATATGCAGTGCCTTGTAGCAGCGTGGGGTGAAGAACACGGGAGCGAACGTGTGTAGGTTCCTATGTGGCTGAAGTATCGTGCTTTACGCCGGAAATTGACACAGACGTGTAAACTGACAGTACTTAAAAAACCATGTATTTTTTTAGAAAGGACTAATAACGTATCATTATCGCCTCCCACACACACCCCGTAGGCAGGCCACATCCATCGCAGGGAAGGAGATAAGGCTTTTTGGCTGCAAATTAGTGCGGCTTTTCCAAACCTGGACTTAGCTCCTGCCCCCCTTTCCTCCTTCCGGTCCTCCCCTACTGAGGTCTCTCAACCCCGGAAGAGAAGGGCGAGCAAGTTTATAATCAGCGTTTGTGCTGAGCTCTCACTTCATTCTTAAAAGTTGCAGCACGAGTTGGGTCTTCGAAAGTGACTGGGAGGATATGTAAGACCACAGAGTACAAACAAAAACAAAACCGATCTGCCGCCATGAGTGTCAGAGCAGCGAGTGTTTTAATCAGGAAAGAACAGCCTGTGATTGAACCCCTAGTCCTGATGACATGCATTTGACTGTGTGCCCAGTCAGTAGGAACTTCACTTTGTCGCTTTTTGCTCCAGCTTCAGAATACCAAGACTGCTTCTGTGTGATAGAATGGCAACAAAGTTGAGAATCTCAGGCTAAAAACTGGAGTGTAAATTTTCAAATTAGCTGGCAATAGGGGTCTATTCTGCGTGGCATATGGAAATTGGAGGCATTTAGGGTTGTTAAAGCGTGCATTTGTTGGATGAGTCAGTGTTTTGTGAGCCTCACTTAGCAGAGGACAGTCACCGAAAGCATCTACCCGTGGGCTCATTTGTACGGGGACGACAGTGGGGGGACTGGACCAAGGAAGTCAACACGTGATCTGCGGGCGGTGAGGCTGCAGGCCGGCCCCGTCATCTCAGGGTCTGAGGCCGAGGGAGGCTCGGCTGGGATCGTGTGTGTCTGCACTCATGGCCGTGGGGCGGAAAGTCACATTCCTCGGTGCGTGGTTTTTCGTGAAGACACTGTGTCTGGGGTTTTGGTTGCTTCATTACTTACTACTACTGCAACTTTACAAGACCATGCTTCTGTGAACCCGCTGATCACTGGTGCCTCGGCCCCTGTGCCCTACCTATAAGCAGCATTTACCGTGAGACCAGAGCGCCCACTGAATTAAGAAGTAGCAATTCTTTGTCATAGTCTGTCAAGAGGCTCAGTTACTCCCTAGTTACTATCTGGATTCAAAAGTTCTCGCTGCTGCTTCCACCACTACTAACGTTTCTTGGGCAGTCTTCAAGCCAATTAGATAATTTCCAGTTCATGTTATCAAAACAGTGCTTTGAGGTGTGCAATTTCTTTTTTCTCAATTTTCAGAGATAGAAATTAAGGCTGAGCTAGATGAATTTATTCAGAATCAGATCCACTCGTGTGTGTAGTCTGTGTATACTGGTTAAATTTAGAGGCCTTGTGCATCATTATGTCTTTAATATCTATTAAAAGGGCTCTAATTCCATTTCCTTGGACAAAATAGATTAAAACCCAAGACACTTAGAGACTTCTTTTGTATAGACTAAACCCATTTGCTAATCTGTTTCTCCTTATGCTGAGCTTTAAAAATAAAAATGTGCTTGGCAATAAGCTATATTGAAACTTGAAAGGGTGATAAGTCTTACTGGACTGTTGGCTCATTTCTAATGCAACAATGGAAGAGTAAACACAGCCTTCTTTGTTTTGAACATTATTCAGAACTATTTCTGACTTCATTAGGAGTATCTAAGCCTTTCCAGGAAAATTCCCATTGAAATCTATGTATTACAGCCAAACTGAAATACGCATTTGACCTGAGGAGGAAAAAGGCGCAGCGGGGGAGGGCTCATCCTAATTACTCTGTTTCTCAGAGTCTCCAGCCCACGGGATGCAGCCGTTACCTTTTCATAGCATTCCAAGTACCAAGCCCGAATGATGATTTTTATAATTGAAGTATAGTTGATTTACACTATTGTGTTAGTCTCAGGTGTACAGCTAAGTGATTCAGTTTTTTTTTTTCACATCGTTTTCCATTAGAGGTTATTACAGGATACTGACCATAGTCCCCTGTGCTGTATCATAGACCCTTGTTGCTTATCTAGCTTATGTATAGGAGTGTCTATCTGTTTGTTATGGAATATTTACTCTTAATCTTAAAATAGATGCACATTTAAAGCTGGCCTGATTCAAGGCTGAAAGACTTTCTGTTACCCGCTTTTGAAATCTAACATTGACTGACTAATTTTCCTTTTAAGAAGCCAACTTACTTACAGCCAACATGCTTTTTTATGGACTTGTCTGCGTGAGTGCTTGTGTTCTCATCTATAAAGACAGATTAAATAAACAGAAATCCCTTACCTCACTAGTACACTGTACAAATTACGTAAGATGATAATGTTTAGGAAAGTCCTTTGCAAAATGCTACTCAGCTCAACTATTAGTGACCAACATAATGCACAGGAAGCAATAATTAGCGTATCTTCGTGGTTCAAGCAGTTGTGAAGTAACATTAATGGACCCAGACCCTATCTCCTTTTTTTTCTTTTCTTTTTGCTATGACCATTGTATTACAGAGCATTTCGCAGCTCGGGCTCATACAGCCCCCCAGAGGGAGCATTTTTGGTTGGTAGACAGGTGCAGGGCACTAGCTAAGAGGTACTATTAAGCATATTTACAATAACAGAGTAAGCACTGAACTCAGCACAACGACGTAGGGATGTAATTTCACTTAAAAGATGCTTTGAGAGGTGTGGGAAATGACAAACATAAGAAATCATCGGGCAAGAAAATCCAAAACCAAACAGTTGACGGCATTGTAGAGGAGTTTTTCTCTTTTTCTTTCTCTTTCTGATTCTCGGCTCCCACAGGCTGAAGACGAGTTTGTATACTGGCCAAGTCGAGAAGAATCCATGAACTGTGAGGCCTTTACCGTCACCCTGATCAGCAAAGACAGACTGTGCCTCTCGAACGAGGAGCAGATCATCATCCACGACTTCATCCTTGAAGCGACACAGGTACCGTCACGGCGCGGCCCTGGCCGCCCCGGGGCCCTGCGCCGTCCGTCTGCGCGATAACAGACTCACTCACCGCCCTCCGACGGGCCCGGGGATCCGAGTACGACTTAATTTGAGAACGACTTGTTTTGCTTCCATCAAATATTTGCTTTTCCCAGCTGGAAAGATGCAATGTCACAATTCCTCTGACCGAGCAGGCACACAAATGGGCCTGTTGCCCTAATTACAGAAACAATGCGCTAGAGCTCAGTATTTTCTCTGCCTGCAGAAATGTAAGCCCTGAAATGAGCTGCAGAGATGGTAATACGAAGACTTTTTTTCTTCAGTAAATAACCCTTTGATGCATAGTTAACTCCCTTCTTACAGGCACAGACAACAGGGGAGCTGTCGTGTATCAGTATTTTAAATAGTGACCTCCTCGCCCCTTCCTTGTTTGGTTTCTTTCCCTTTATTTTTCTAGATAAGACAGAGTAGGATATAAAGTCTCCTGTAATTTGTTGTCCCTTGAAATCTTCCCCTGGACAAAACCAGACTCTGTTTCACTCCCACGACCTCCGTTTTTTAGTGGCAGGCAGACCTCCCTGGTATTTTCTTACAGAGCTAGGTGGCTCCCGTGTCCCTCATTCACCTAGACGCCCGCGGGAGCAAGTGCCGGCCCGGGGGGGGGGGGGGGCTGACCTGTGCTGCGCTGCTTGCAGGATGACTACGTCCTGGAGGTCCGGCACTTCCAGTGTCCCAAGTGGCCCAACCCGGACGCCCCCATCAGCAGCACCTTCGAGCTGATCAACGTCATCAAGGAAGAGGCCTTAACCAGGGACGGCCCCACCATCGTGCACGATGAGTATGCCTCTCCTCCTTGCTTTTCTCCCTGCGCGGCTGTAGGAGAGGGGCGGGGAGCCAGCTTTCAGGACCCTTCTCCCTGTCGGCTTGTGGCAGTTCCAGGTCATTTCTAATGTGTACACGTACAAGGTCATTGTCGTCCTCATCGCATTTTAATTTGTCAGATGCTTCCAAGGCCTCCGGCTCTCCTGGTGGGCGGGCTTCTAGACAGGTGACAGTGCTTAGCCCTCCAAGATGCAGTCCCATGCTGTCTTTCAGAGGTTTTCTGTTTCAATAATGTAAATGAAACAGTTCATTCTTAATGTACATTTTTATATTTACACTAATTTACATGTAATCATTTATATTAAGTTATTTTAAATCCTCACTGAATTTTAGCAAATGCTTATTACGGAAGAAACCTTTTAAAATATAGTTTAGCTGATTCGTAGTGGAAAAGTTACTATTATTAATGATAACATTTATAGTTTACAGTGTGTCTTTTTCGGGGGGGGGAGAGGGTAAACTAGGTTTATTTATTTATTAATTTTTTAAGCGGCAGTACTGGGGACTGAACCCAGAACCTCAGGGATGCTAAGCACACACTCTACCACTGAGCTATACCCTCCCCCTTACAGTGTGTCTTGTAGTTGACAGCACAACCTTTGGGGTTTAAAGGTAAAGCCTGTGAATCTCAAAGAGAACAAAGTAACTTGCTCCTGACTCGGAGCATCTGAGTGTCCAAGTGGAGCTCAAAGCCAGCCCACTTCCCCTTCAATGAGAAGGAACGGCTCATAGATACGATAGACACTGTACAGATACACTTATGGTATATGAATGTGCTATCTACCTTAAGGTATAGATATCCTGTATGGAATATGAATCTCTGGAGTCAGATTTAGAGTGGGAATCGACCTGCAAGTCAGGTGCGTAATCCCACGCAGTTCAGACTCACAGACATCCAGCCAGTAGCACCAATTACACACCCTCACCTCTATCTCAGTTCCAAGCTAGCTCCCTTGGTCAGCAACTTTTTAGGGCATCCATTTTGTTCATTCCGTTACCAGCTGCTCTGGTAGCATAGATATTAATACATTTCACAGTAAACCTCATTGTTCCAGTCTTGTGTTCCTTGAACGAACGCTGTAACACTCTAAGTGAACAAAGACTTTGGGCCTAGGTCAGCGCCTTCCCCTCAGATCCAAGTCCTCTGTTTGAAGCCAGCCGTGTTACTGGCTCCCTCCAAAGACTTCGACGGTCTCTTTCCAAATGTTGACCTACTTCTTCATTAGATAAAGAATTAAGGTTAGTGAAATCCCTAAGTGAGACCCCTGGAAACGTGACAGCCACCAGCAGTGTTTAAATAACACACACAAAACCTCAAAATAACGGCAGTTGCTGCTAGTCCGTGAAACTGAGCATATTATGCAGTTAGAGCATAAGCTGGGGCTGCCTCTAGAGTTCCCCTCCCCCACCCCACTGATCTGGGTTAGCTTTTCAAGTACCTTTTGGAATGATCAATTCAGACCACGTTCCAGTGTTGCTCCCGTTTCGCTTCTCTGACAGGAGCACTCCGGGGTCTGTCCCGCGGTCAGAGAGGCAGCTAGCTACACTTCACGGTGGGGGAGGAGGGGAAGGGAATCACCAGCTACTTCGACAATCTGAACAGAGCTGTGTGATTCCTTTCTCCATACTGTCTTATTCAGCGATTTTTATTTTAGGCTACCTGCTGAATATGTCTCCGCTAGAATTAATCACATGTACCTTGTTCTCAGGCCTAAATAAAGAAAAGAGCAAATTATCCCTAAACGAGTGGATCTTCACGTACCATACAGTTGAGCTGGCTTAAAAGCCACTTAAAGACAGATGTTCATTTATCCACCATCTTTAAGAGATAAGTGACTTGCATGGAAATTAGTTTTCTACATCAAACAAATTTGAAATTTTTAAATAGTTGCTCGCTCTCGTGCAGCACTCTGAAGGCCAGTTACCTTTCAGGGTCCATCTTACCTTCTGATGGCCTGCCGACACCCCAAATTTACCATCTGTCAACCCAGACTCCTCATCCTCCCAGCCTGCTCCCATCCACTGACTTGTACAGACCAGAAAC